TATCACAAACGATTGTGTACAACGTCTCCAGCACAAATCTTAGCCGTCACTCTAAGTTGACAACATGTCAAGATTGAAACCGCGCGGTTATTATCAATGAAAAATAATGACAGAATTGGTCGACTTAGCAATTTTCACTGTCCCACTTTTTTTTTAATTCGGACAACCCTCACATTTTTGGTTTCCACTTCTTTATACTGACTTTTATTTGTATGTATATATAATTCCCTTTTGAGTTGTGCATCCGCCATTCACTTCGTCTGACATCTGATTACCTTTCTTTTCGAAAATATAACGTTTTCATCATGAATTTTAGAAGAAAATTTACGAATAAATAATATATAGAATAGTCCTCTTTTGTCACAGACAGTTTCATCCATTCCTAAATACAGTCCATTCATCTCTTTTTTCATTTGTCACTACATTTCTATCGTATAATATTTTACATTGTATTTTTATAAATGACAGGGATACTCGGCGTTGCCCGGAAGGGTGCCACATTCACAGAGCCAAAATTATCCCTTATTACTTCTTATTCTATTGACAGGAAGGAAATTCTGCTTAGACAGTTTTTTTTTTCCCAAGAGCTGTTATTTTGTAAAACAGACTCCCATGAGGATACTTCCCGATTACAACAATCTTAACTTAAAGGGGATATTAACCCATTATAAATAATGTAAATAATGACCTTAAATAAGTTGAAAGAAATGCTATTCTAGAATCTGTGCTATTATTCGGTGTGTTTGTATGTACGACTTTTTGGCTTTTTCAGCTTGTGACCAGATGTAGTATCTGATCCATCAGTGTTCCTTCAGAATAAGAAACGTTATATAAATATTAAGAAATAAGAGGCTGGAGAAATCAAGGAAGGATATGGAGGAAAAGGGTTACTGAAGAAAAAAAAATGAGGGCGGAAATTTAAAACATTTAAGTCATTTTTTTTAATATGTTTAAGTTTATCGTCTCTCCAATATACATATATATTCTTTTCACAATGTTTTTCTTCGTTTGTTTACATCCGTCTGAACCGATGTTTACGTTGATGTAAACATCACTTTAGTTTGATGATCTCCTAAAGGACGAAATGGACCACACGAAAAATAAAATTTCCATTGGTCCTTAATTTTCCGAACAATGTAAAAATTTATTTATCATATATACTGGGCGTAACAGCAAAATTTTCTAAATCGTGTAACAGCATAATTATCCATTCTACAATATGTTCAATATCTAAAAAAAAAAAAAAAAACTAATCTAATTGAGTTTTAGTATCTGTCTATATTTCTGAGATGAAGTATTATGTACACTATTTACATTATTCGGACTATTGTCCTCATCTTTGTCGCCATATTTATTACAAAGTTTCGAAAAACCCTTTTGAGTTATTCAGCTAAAAACAGAGCAGGCTAAAATCGTTTTATGTCAAACTCACTCTCTTCCTGAGAGGACAAAGGTCATTCGGGCCTTCATCAGGTGGTTGGAATGTCGAACTGAACCCTTTATTTCGCTCACTGGGGTAGAATGTGTACATGTATTATGGATTTCAGTTGTCAGTTATCTCCTGTTAATTCCCTTCTCCAAGTTCTCCGCAGCCTCTTTGGGTTCTGTCACTGGATCTAACTAACGCCTTTATCCACTGTGCCATGTGTCCTTGAGGACATCTGGATAAGCATTTCTGGGTATTATAAACCTAATGTCTTCAGCAACAATTGCTGAAGACATTAGGTTTATAATACCCAAAATTGATACCAGTTGTCGTAAGAATCATTGAAAAAAACTTTTTGAGTTATTCAGCTAAAAAGAGAGCAGGTTAAAATCATTCTATGTCAAACTGACTGACTTCCTGAGAGGACAAAGGCCATTCGAGCCTTCAGTAATGGTACCAACATTCATAATCTGGCTTCCATTCAGGAACCATCAAGAGAACTTGGAATAAGTTTGAAAAAGTGTGAACAGTAGAGACGAAAACTGAATCAGGAGGTCAAAACAGGAAGAGAGATCATCATTTCAGCTTAGAGCTAAAGAGAGCAATTAGAAAAGATCCAACTCAATTCATAAGACGTTTTTCACGTCAGAGAGGAGTTTCAGCTACGACAGTCCAAAGATCAGTGATATATATATATATATATATATATATATATATATATATATATATATATATTTGAACCTATTTTTCAATACTGAATCTATATTTTCAATCCTTCATAAGGTTCCGATCCTTAGCTATGATTAATTAATTATGAACATGTCATTTTCGTTTATGATTTCATCACGATACTTCTGCCAAAATTACAGAACAGTTATACACTCGTATTGCTCAAAGTAGATACCAATAGTGTTATAAAATCCTCGGAGAATTCCAGTAAGATATCTTTAATCATTTCTAAGGTACAACGGTTCAAAGCGTAATCTAACTATTAGACAATTTTGCTGTTACACCCGGTATTCGTGTGTGTATGTTTGCATGTGTTAAACATTATTGTAGTAAATACGTGCATTTGAAATAGATGGTCTGTTTTTATTTTTACTTTAAACAATGTGTATTACATTTATCGGCCTGCGTATGTGAGAAATCATAATAAGGAAAAAGTGCTCTTCATTCTCGAATACGCAGGCTGTTAGCTATAATAATCGCTGTTATGTTTAAAGTAAGTGTAAAAATGAGGCGTCTATTTCAAATATGATTATCCTCAATCACTTCTTATTCTATTGGCAGGAAAGAAATTGTGCTTAGGCAGTTTTTTCCCAAGAAAAAATATAACGTTTAAAGTAATATATATATATATATATATATATATATATATATATATATATATATATGATAAATTGAAATATAACATTAGATACTTAGCTGATTTCGTAGACGAATCTTTCTTGTAATCATTCTGTCTACTCGTCAGGAGGTATCAGAAATTGACTGCTGATTTTCTCATTTGTGTTATGTTTCAAAAATAATAATTTACGCGCTTTTTATTGGTGTGAGATTTTTTTTGTTCTTTGTATGTGCGCGTGTGTGTGCGTATGCCCGTACGTGTGTGTATGTGCACATTTGCAGAATATCGTGTTTACTTTTACTTTTCATAATTTTCTTGACTTCTAATACTCTCCCCCTATATATTTACATGATATGTGTGTGTGTCCGGGCGCCTGCGTCTGTGTGAATTGAAATAAAAAAAAAACAAATATTGATCAGAATCCGATAGAATTTTATGATAAACGCTTACCATTTGTTCTTTATTCTTTCATATATATATATATATATATATATATATATATATATATATATATATATATATGTGTGTGTGTGTGTGTGTGTGTGTGTGTGTGTGTGTGTACTAAAATCCAAAATGTTGGTGTGACTAGTAGACTACCTGCAATATACCTAAAGAAAGACTTACACAGGGAAAAAAATGAAACTACCAACAAAGTAAAAAAAGAAACGGCAAACACTTACCTAAGCAGTAAATAACAGTGCTCAATGCCTAGGCTACCCAGACAGAGCTAAAAAAGTTTCATAGCGTCAATACTCAACAAGGCATAGCTTGAGTCAATATATATATATATATATATATATATATATACTGAAATGTTAGCAGTCCAACCAACTTCCCAAAACCAGTAGTTCAAAAACGAACTATGATAATTCTTGCTGAAAGTTTCAAAGAAGTTGCCAAATTTGTTGAACTGCGCATTGAATATCATCTACACGAACCTTTTTCATAGGTGACTCATTTATAAGCAACTGGACTCAAATTTGACTAAAGATGCATGGTCAAACGAAAACAAGTCCTAAATGTATTATTTTATATTTCTACCAATTCTACTTGTTTAGTTACACTGAAATATTTTTCTTTTCTATTTCTTAGATCAAAGCCTTAAACAAATAAGCAAGTATTTTACCCACTTCAACACATATATATGATGGCTCTCGTCGTAACCCGAAACTCACGTTCACTCGATGTTTGAAGGTCTCGTGAAACTCGGGTTATGACTACGGCTATCCTTTGATAGAAATGAAAGTTATCAAGCGTTTTTGCTCTATCTCGGTAATATAAGCGTTGAGCACATTACTTGACTGACTAGGTAGGTGTTTATCTTATTTTTTTTTATTGCTGTACTTATTTGAAATTTTATCTTTCATAAGATTTTGGGTGTTTTGATATTTCTTTAATATATATATATATATATATATATATATATATATATATATATATATGTGTGTGTGTGTGTGTGTGTGTATGTATATATATATATATAGTACAGGTAATCGATCCGTTGGTATATAATCCGGGTGAATCCATAAATATTAATTATTAAAACTGAAAACAGAGAACCCGATGTTTTCTTTTTAATAGAGCATATGTATTTTTTATAGTAAAAAAATAAAAATTACTTCAACATAGCGATAGTCTATTTCAAGCCGTTCTGTAGACTTGTATAATCCGGGTGTATTATATAAGTACAGATAGTCTTGCAATAGGCTATCGCTATGTTGAGGTAATTTTTGTTTTTTGCTGTAATATATATATATATATATATGTGTGTGTGTGTGTGTGTGTGTGTGTGTGTATTCAAATAAAAAGAAAGAACAGTAAGATATGTAATCCGGTGTTCTTATTGATATTTTTATTTTTTACAAAATAGTGCTCAATGTAAATTTACAGAGCATTAATATTATAAATTAACTGATGTAGAATATGTTTTTTTCGCTACACAGTAATAATCATGTTTTAAAACTTTAAATTTAATTTTGTAATTAAATTAAAAACATTAGTTCCATTTCATCCTCAAGCGAATTTTTGGAGTAACTTATTTTTTAAATTTACTGAGTTTTAACTGCAAGGAAATTCATAATTTTCGGTTACCAAGCATACAGAAAATCCAATCATCCAGACAAGGATATATATATATATATATATATATATATATATATATATATATATATATATATATATATATATATATATTATGGAATCTGGATGTCTCCGTTTAATGTAGGCTTACGGCCATATAACGTTGAAGCACTAGTTCCCGTACGATCACCAACGTTAAATAACTTCAAGCCTGGTTAGTACCGAGATAGGTGACCACTTAGGAATGCCAGCTCCTTTAAGCTTGAATGATCTGGTGGTGGTGGAATGGACAACGGCTCGTAACTGGAAATCGAAGAGCCGAATTCCAATTCTAGACGGGTTCGTTATATTCCGTGATTCGCAAATACCGTTAGATAATATATGAATCCTCCTTTACTACCTCCAGCTATGGGTTAATTAGTATGAATTGTATCAGTAAATCATTATTATCTCTAAAAACTTCTTACAATCTAAAAATATTTTCTAGTTTTAAATAATCTGCAAAGGTTTGTAAAAAAAACCAAACCAATGAATCAAGCCACGAAGAGACACTCAATGACCAGATTATGTTCATACAAGACTAAGAATTAAGATAAACAGTTATTCTTTACGGATTTCTACTGTGAATATCATAGGAAATTTATTTCTTAAAGTGGTTTTCATTTAAATAAGTTTGAAATGATTTTTTTTTTGGTGGGAGGAGAATGGCAAAATTAACATGAATCTCGTCGTAGGAATGGAAGCATTGTCGTCTCTGTTATGATGAAAATTCGCGCTTCTTGGATCAGTTACCAGGAAGAAAATCAAGGAAAATTGTCTTAGAATATGGATTCATGTGTTAGCAAAAACAAAAACCGAAAATACGATTCGGGTAACAGTTTAAAAATCAAATATAATTGCTTTCGATAAGACTTAGCCATCCCGTGTTTTGTCGATAGTAGATTATAATTCACACCTCAATCCACCACCTACATCTATATATAATTCACACCTCAATCTACTACCTATATCACGACTGAACGTAAAACGCTCCGCAACACGTATCATTTCGAAAAGGTTTTGTCATGTATTCCTGAATCTAACAATTTGACCTTTACCGAAATTACTCATTTTTTTTTCTTTCTCATAACTGCTGCATTTAACACATCAAAATACGATCTTCGGTGCTGGTTCACCTGCTTATATAACTCTAGTCCTGACAGTTGCGCAGTTGTTTCAAAAGCGTAGCTTTTATTCTTGCCACATAACGCTAAGCATAATGTTTATAAAGTTTGTATATTTCTGTCTGAATTACTGGGATGACGTATTACTATTGTCCTTATTTTTTATTATTATTACAACGTTTAGGCCTCTGTGCCTTCTGGCTTTCATCAAGTTTTCGTCTGTCCGATTAACCCTTAGAAAATTTCGAACAAAACACTTTATTTAATCTGTGGTGTTAGTGTGTTCTCTTCCTGTTGGTCAGGTCTCGAGATATCTCATTGTGTCCATAGAAAAGAAAACAATTCTACTCCCGTTTATTAAATAAACTGTTTAGTTTAAAATCCTCTGAAACCCTGATGAAAACCGGAAGACACAATGACCGAAACGTTGTGAATATAACAACAAGGATTAGCGCATTAATTCGACTGTAAATAATGCAAAAAGTTTCAAAATTACTTTATCTTATTTTATAAACAACAATGAAATATGGAAGCGACAAGCGATGTAGTCAACTTCATTTTTACCGGTGTGTTGCTTGTTCGATCCTCGCTGGCTATTCCGTTCTTGTGACCTTATGCCAAACTAAGCTGAACTTTTTAAATGAAAACAGCAATAAAAAATAATCTTTTCCTCCGCCTCCAGACCCCCATCATTACGATTCTTATCGCTTGAATGAATAAGCTTCGAATCAAATAGCTACTTAACTCAACCACATGACTTGTTCCCAGTTAATCAGCAATAAAAGTGGAATGTGAACAATAACACCGACGTCAGACACTGAGGCTGAAGGATGAAAATTGTTCGCTAGTTGCACAAATCACGTTAAATTGTTGTTCAATTCGACTTTAGCGGAAGAAAAAGGGTAGACAATTGGGTGAGTGAAGTTGGTCACGTGATTAGCAAGTAGCCAATCAATAGCTATCGCCAGGTTTAACCATAAAAATGGAAAGCAAGAATAATTTTATAAGTTGAAGTACAAAATTGCTCGAAGGGTACACAAATGATGTTAACTTGTTTTTCGTTGAGTGTTGTTGTAAGCCGGGCTTAAAAAGATTGGTGACTAGGGTCAACCACGTGATTAATAACCAACCAATCAAAATGAAACACCAGATTTTAACGAAAAAAAAATAACTAAACGGAAATACGCGCGGAGAAATAAGAAGAGATGATGGAAGAAACTTTGAGTCAATGGCAGTCAGCTAGAGTGAAACAAATCAATTATAGATTTCTTCGTTACGTTCAACACTTCAGGCGAAAGAAACTTCCTTTATTCCACTTCAATCTTGTCGATGTAGATCAGTTGTAAATCTTGGGACGAAAATATTTGAGGTTCTATTCTGTATTCCATTTTGGGAACCTCATAAAAAAATTAAAATTTTCTTCTTCTTCTTCTTCTTCTTCTTCTTCTTCTTCTTCTTCTTCTTCTTCTTCTTCTTCTTCTTCTACTTGTGCCGTATCCCCTCAGGACGTAGGCGATCTCAGCATTCCACAACTTCCTGTCCTTAGTAGCTCTTGATAAATTGTGTCTTTCTGTTATTTCTCCTAAACCTTGTTCCACCAGCCATTTACTTAAAAGCACATCAAGTATGTTATGCATTGTTTTCCTATGTCTCTCCTGCCTTCAATCTGTCCCGTTAGTACCAGATTTTCCAAGCCCTCCTTTGTCATTATGTGCACCCAGAAACCTCAACTGTCTCTTCCTGATATTAAAAACGTTTTTTGTTTTTGTTTTTTTGTTTTGTTTTCATTTTCTCTAAAACATAATCCCCAGTATCCTCAGCATGCTTCTGTAGAACCACATTCCTCTTCTTCATCTTTGAGAAGATTGTCCAGCTCCAATTGCCATACAGGAAGGCAGATACGGCGTAACTGCTTAGTACACTTATTCATCTGCATACCTTATGTTGTCAAGATTGCGAACGCCAAAAATTAATCCTAGTAGAACTTCTAGTTCTCTCAGAATCCTCTCGCTGTATAGATTGAATAAATCCGAAACCTAGTAATAATCTTTTCTTCATCTATGTGCCGCGTTCATTCAGAACATAGATGATCATGGCTTTCCACGACTTCCTATGCTTTGTAGCTCTTAGCAATATTTATCTTTTCCGCAAGCTCATTTTGTAGATTATCCTTGTTTCCCACTGTTCCTGTGAGTATTAAAGTCTCTAAACTCTCTATCCCTTTCTGTAACTCAGAAGTTTTAATCCATTCTTTTTTTTTATTTTAAGTTGATTTTTTCTATTTTTTATAACTTCCCAGTTGCTCTCATGCTCCGCCTATGGTATTCTTAGAATTCTTTGTAGAACCGCATGTCTTGGTCCTAAAGTTTCTTCTTCATCTATAAGGATTTATCCAGTATTTACTGTCAGATAGTAGAATTGATGTTGCCGAGCAGTCCGCCATTTTTTTCTTTTTTTTTTTTGTAACAAAATTTCCCTCTATAATAATAGTTTTCTTAGCTTTAATGTACCACGTACCATTTACGTACCCCATAAAATCAATATCCATTCTAACTTAGCTTACTACCATATCACGTTGAAACACCGGTTCCGTAGGATTTCCGAACTTAAGAAACGTCGTTCAGTACCTAGATGGGTGACCGCTTGGGAATACCAGGTGTTGTAAGTTTGTATGTTCAGGTGGTGTAATGGATAATGGCTTGTTAATCGGAGAGCCGAGTTCCAATTCCAGTTGGGTTCCTTATATTCACTTATACTTTGGAAAAGGTATTAAGCCATGTCTTCCCCCAGCTATGGGTGTATTAGTAAGACTTTTATCACTAAATCATTATTATCTCCAAAAAGAATTTCTGTAATCTAAAAATATTTTCTTTTCATTAAATAACCTGGAAAGTGTCGATAAACGGCAAAAAAAAACCGAATCAATCAATCAATGCTGACGTTGTCGAAATCTGTCTACGGTAACAATCAATTCATCTGAAAAAGAGACTAATGTTTCTTTCAACATTTTCAAAACATGTATCACCTTCAACAGATCTTCTAAAAATTATATATCTATAAAATATGTAAGCATAAAATTGCGTTTAATTAATTAATGTAAGTCATAAAATTGCATGAAAATATTTAGATTTCAGTATTAAATGACCCATAAATTTTTGGTGTTTCTTCACCTCCAGAATGTGGACGGACAACATGGACCCATACAGTTTCATATCACATTATACAAAATCAACGAAAACTTTCTAACTTGCTAATTTTACTTCTTTATGCCATGTTAGGACGAGAACGATCATGGCTCTCCACAACTTCTAAGTAATATCTGTACCTTTATCATCCTTCTTGTCCTTGTACTATTCACGTGCGTTACCTTATACTTCTCTTACCTTCAATATCCCCTGTGAGATTTATATTCTCCTCGCCTTCTTTCTTTCTGCATCCCAGAAATTTCATGCTTAGACTACAAAATTCTATGGAATGCAATACTTGGTAAAATGCGTTGTCTGATAGGTTGAATCTTTCTAGAGTTGAAATGGAATGTTATTCGGTACAATGCTCCCTTATTTTGGCCAATTACCATTTTTGACACTCGCTGCTTATGCAACACCTATGAACATCCATAGCTTTCACCTGTAGTTGGTGTATGTCAGTAATTCACATATTCTTGCTATTCCTACTGAAGAAAAAAAACGAAAACAATTATCCACTTATAGGTAGAACACTTCATCATTTAGATCCCAACAACTCATACAGCGGTTAAAGAATCTTAAATACGTGATTGCCACAGTTACGCTACTTTTTTCGTATGTAGTCACGCATAGGTCATGTGATTTCGTCTGTTTTACATATGGAGAGGGAGAAACTAATCAGTTTATTTCTTCTGATTCTTCCACGCCCTGGATATGACGATAAACTACATCCGGTAGAAAGGCATCTGATCAGAAGGTTTGCAGGAGAACCACCTTTAATTGCTGTTGTTCCAAGCTCCACCATGACCTGGGGTCGTAGTACCTACTAGGATCCCGGCTATGGGCAAGTAGTTAATAGACTGGGGTCAAAACACTATGAAAGTATAAAAATAGTTTTATA